AAAAACAAGAATCTGAATCCAAGACTACTCTACCCAGCAAGACTATCATTCAAAATAGAAGGTCAAATAAAGAGCTTCCCAGACTAAAAAAGGCTAAGGGAATACATTAGCACCAAACCAGCACTGCAAGAAAGGTTAAAAGGACTGCTGTAATTAGCAGTAGAAATGGGAAGAAAAATAGAACCACACTAAACAAAAATGGCAATAAACAAGTACATATCAATAATCACCTTAAATGTAAGTGGATTGAATGCTCCCATAAAAAGACACAGAGTAGCTGATTGGATAAGAAAGCATGACTCATCTATATGTTGTTTACAAGAGACCCACCTCACAACAAAAGACTCACATAGGTTGAAAGTGAAGGGATGGAACAAAATCTTCCAAGCAAATGGAAAGCAAAAAAAAGCTGGGGTAGCAATTCTCATATCTGATAAAATAGATTTCAAAATGAAGACCATAACTAGAGACAAAGATGGCCACTACATAATATAGAAAGGATCTATCCAACAGGAAGATATAACCTTGATAAACATATATGCACCCAATATAGGAGCACCAAAATATATTAAAAATCTTCTGGAGGACTTCAAAGGAGAAATCGACAACAATACAATCATAGCAGGGGATTTCAACACCCCATTGACAGCACTGGATATATCCTCTAGGCAAAAAATTAGCAAGGAAACAGAGACTCTAAATGAAGCACTAGACCAAATGGATTTAATAGATATCTACAGAGAATTACACCCCAAAACTACAGAATTCACATTCTTCTCAAGTGCACATGGGACATTCTCAAAGATAGACCACATGATAGGACACAAAATAAATCTCTACAAGTTCAAGAAGATTGAAATCATATCAAGCATCTTCTCAGATCACAATGACATGAAACTAGAAATCAATTGCAACAAGAACATGCAACGACATTTCAACACATGGAGGCTAAATAGCATGTTATTAAACAATGAATGGGTCACCGAGGAGATCAAGGAAGAAATTAAAAACTTCCTGGAAACCAATGAAAATGAACACACAACAACACAAAATCTATGTGATGCAGCGAAAGCAGTTCTGAGAGGGAAGTTCATAGCACTAGAGGCCTACCTCAAGAAACAAGAAAAATTTCTAATTGACTGTCTAACCTCACAACTTAAAGAACTAGAGAGCAAACAAAAAGAAAACCCCAGAGCAAGTAGAAGGAAGGAAATAGTAAAGATCAGAGCAGAAATAAATGACATAGAGACCAAAAAAACAATTCAAAGGATCAATGAAACAAAGAGCTGGTTTTTCGAAAAGATAAACAAGATTGATGGACCCTTAGCTAGACTCACCAAGAAACAAAGAGAGAGAACCCAAATACACAAAATCAGAAATGAAAGAGAAGTAACAACCAACACCACGGAAATACAAAAAATTGTTAACAACTACTATGAACAACTATATGGCAACAAATTCGACAATCTAAGCGAAATGGACAAATTTCTAGAAACACACAGTCTCCCAAAACTGGACCCGGAAGAGATAGAAAACTTGAACAGACCAATATCAACTAAGGAAATTGAAGAGGTAATCAAGACTCTTCCAGTAAACAAAAGTCCAGGCCCAGATGGCTTCACGGGGGAGTTTTACCGAACATTCAAAAAAGAACTAACACCCATTCTCCTCAAACTATTTCAAAAAATTCAAGAAGAAGGAAGACTTCAAAACACGTTCTATGAGGCCAGCATAATTCTAATTCCAAAACCAGAAAAAGACACTACGAAGAAAGAAAACTACAGGCCAATATCCCTGATGAACATAGACGCCAAAATCCTGAACAAAATATTAGCAAATCGGATCCAGAAATACATCAAAAAATTATCCACCATGACCAAGTGGGATTCATCCAGGGATGCAAGGCTGGTACAATATTCACAAATCAATAAATGTGATACACCACATAAACAAAATGAAGAATAAAAACCACATGATCATATCAATAGATGCTGAAAAAGCATTCGACAAAATCCAGCATCCATTTCTGATAAAAACGCTCAGCAATGTGGGAATAGAGGGATCATATCTCGACATAATAAAGGCCATATATGAAAGACCTACAGCCAACATCATACTCAATGGACAGAAACTAAAAACATTTCCATTAAGAACAGGAACAAGACAGGGATGTCCACTTTCACCACTCTTATTTAACATTGTACTGGAAGTCTTAGCCACAGCAATCAGACAGGAAGAAAAAATAAAAGGGATCCAAATTGGAAAGGAGGAAGTTAAACTGTCATTATTTGCAGATGACATGATATTATACATAGAAAACCCTAAAGACTCCATCAAAAACTAGACTTAATAAATGAATTTGGCAAAGTAGCAGGATACAAAATTAACGTCAAGAAATTGACGGCATTCCTGTACACCAATGATGAACTCACAGAAAGAGAAACTGAAAAAACAATCCCATTTACCATCGTGCCAAAAAAATTAAGATACCTAGGAATAAACTTAACCAATGAAGTAAAGGACCTATTTGCAGAAAACTACAGGTCATTGAAAAAAGAAATAGAGGAAGATATAAAAAAGTGGAAGCACATACCCTGTTCATGGCTTGGAAGAATTAACATCATTAAAATGTCCATACTACCCAAAGCAATCTATAGATTCAATGCAATCCCCATCAAAATACCAACGACATATGTCATAGAACTAGAACAAATACTTCAAAAGTTCATATGGAACCAGAAAAGACCCCGAATAGCCACAGCAATCTTGAAAAAGAAGAACAAAGTAGGTGGGATCACAATACCAGATATCAGGTTATACTACAAAGTGACTGTAACCAAAACAGCCTGGTACTGGCACAAGAACAGGCATATAGACCAGTGTAACAGAACTGAAAACCCAGAGATGGACCCAAGGCAATATGCTCAATTAATATTTGACAAAGGTGGCAAGAGCATACAGTGGAGTAAAGACAGCCTCTTTAATAAATGGTGTTGGGAAAATTGGACAGCTACATGCAAAAAAATGAAACTAGACCATCAACTTACACCATACACAAATATAAACTCAAAATTGATAAAAGACTTAAATGTGACCCGTGAATCCCTAAAAATTCTAGAAGAAAATGTAGGCAACAAAATTTTGGACGTCATACGGAGCAGAATTTTCACTGATACATCACCTAAGGCAACAGAAACAAAGGAGAAACTGAACACATGGGACTACATCAAACTCAAAAGCTTCTGCACAGCAAAAGAAACAATCATCAAAATGGAAAGGCAACCCACTGTATGGGAGAACATCATTGCCAATGATGTATCAGATAAGGGGTTAATTTCCAATATATATAGAGAGTGCTCATACTACTCAACAAAAGGAAGACAAAGAACCCAATTAAAAAATGGGCAGAGGAGCTGAATAGACACCTCTCCAAACAGGACATACAAATGGCCAAGACATATGAAGAAATGCTCAACATCACTAATCATCAGAGAGATGCAAATTAAAACAACAATGAGGTATCACCTCACACCTGTCAGAATGGCCGCCATCAACAAATCATCAAACAACGAGTGTTGGCGAGGGTGTGGAGAAAAGAGTACTCTAATACCCTCCTTGGTGGGAATGCAGACTGGTGCAGCCGCTGTGGAAAACAATATGGTGTTACCGCAAAAAATTAAACATTGAACTTCCATTTGACGCAGTGATCCCACTTCTAGGAATATACCCTAAGAAGCCTGAACCACCAATCAGGAAGAATATATGTACCCCCATGTTTATAGTAGCACTATTTACAATAGCTAAGATCTGGAAACAGCCCAAGTGTCCATCAGTAGACGAATGGATAAAAAAGCAGTGGTACATATACACAATGGAGTACTATGCAGTTGTAAGAAAGAAAGATCTCTTATCCTTTCAGACGACATGGAGGGACCTGGAAAGTATTATCCTAAGTGAAATAAGCCAAGCAGAAAAAGACAAATACCACATGATCTCACTTATATACGGAATATAATGAATATAACAGTCTGAGGAATACAGTAGACCCAGAAACATGGAAGTAGGGCACAGACTGACATCCCTCAGAAGAGGGGGTGGGGGGGGTAGGAAGAGATAAACCACAGAACTTATATGCATGTATGCATGACCAATGGACATGGACAACTAAGCCGGGGACCGAGCGGGGGTGGGATGGGGAGGGGGTGCCAATGGGGTAAAAAAGGTAAAATATCTGTAACAAAAAAATAAATAAAAAATTTTAAAAAGAGAGATATAACAGATACTAGACAGGCAGAAACAATACATGACCACCTCACCAAACCCACAAAAGGCCAAAGAGTCTCATCACATCATGACTCTTTGGAGTGAAACCTTCATAATATGTGGATACTTTTTCCAAGTCAATTCAATTTTTTTTCAATGAGTTGTAATAAACCAATATATTTACAAAGGAATTTACAGATTAAAAAATATTATCCTTCAATACTCTGGAAAGAACTTTTCCCAAACATTCTACATTATAAAACACATATTTAAAACAATAATTCACAAATGTCCACTATTTTAAATTTCCATAACCTTGATAAATATAAAATTCAGAAATGGCAAAATGTCTAGAAATAAGTGTATAACTACAAACTAATTGCAAAAGGATGTTATAAATAAAAGACTTTAGAAATAAATACAAATACTTCTACTATAAATCCAATAATACTTGTTCACACAAACCCTAGACATATGAAAAATAAACCCCCACAAAACTGTCCTATTATAGAACTTTTTTAAAGCTTTCCATTATTAACCACTCTGTTTTGTTGTTGAATGACTTACTATGATTCAGTGGAATTGTGTATATTCATCTTAGACCAGTAAATAATCAATGGTGGCTGTGATTTACAGAAGGATAAACAGAAATGAATCTGAAAAGATTCCATAGGTTTCCATGGTCAGATTTAACACCTGTCACCAGGTAGGAAGAAGATTTTTGTTGGCTCCCTTCTTCAACAACATATGGAGCAATATGTTGGAATTTTAGCTTTGATGATAATAAGGCATCCACTTCCCCCATGCTGCTCTAGCTTCTGTAACGCATTGGTGATTGGCTCTTTGAACTTCTTGTCCCTTAGTCTCTTGAAAAGACTTGTAAGTAGATGTTTCAGATGGTCATTTAGAGAAGGACCAACGACGACACTGAACTGTACCAGGGCATTCAATCCTCTTTCAAACACGTCATCATCTGAATGGGCCAGAGCTGCCTTCAGCACAGGGATCAGTCTAGGAAGCAAAGGCACAGCTTTCTAAGGAGCATCTCAGACCAAAAGTAATTCTCTAAAACCCTCCTTCAAAACAAAGGTGTATGGATGTTTAGTCTCTCTCAGACCCTCAGCTAAAGTAATAAGAAGAGGATCAAATGAAAGATGTTCAGGAGGAGAGTCCCACTGTAGTCTGTGTTTAACTGAACCGTGGACCGATCTGCAAGGAATACCACCTTTAGAATAAACAGCTGCAAATGCAGAAGGGGCTCCTGACTGTTCACCAAACGGTTGTTTTAGGGTTAAGTGTATCACTTGGTAGAGGATGAACTTTTCTTGCAGAATCTGGAGAGTTGGTTGAAGGTGAGGATTTGCTTCGCTGAACTATATTCCTATGCTTTATTTGTGGATTTGATGATGTCCTTTGATCATAATTACCCATCACTCTGTTTCTCAACTGTGTGTCTCCATGGCACTCTGATTTCTGCATTGCTTCATTCACCTTCACTCCGCGCCTCTCTCCTGCCGCAACCCGCACACCAGCCGCCACCTCAGACGGGGCTTTTGACCAGCGGCGGCTCGGTCAACAGCCCTGGACCCGGCAGCTCGCTGCCAGAGCTTGGGGGAAATCTCACTTCAATTTCATAAGCATTTTTATAACACTTACTAAAGGTCTAGAGTTGGCCGTGCCAGTAAACATACAAGAATACAAGATGAGAGACTAAGAATGCAAAGATGAGGAAGACTCAACCCTGGCCGGTTTGGCTCAGCGGTTAGAGCGTCCACCTGCGGTCCGGAGAGACCCGGGTTTGGTTCCCGCTAAGGGCATGTACCTCGGTTGCAGTTTGTCCCCGGCCCTGGTTGGTTGTGTGGGTGGCAGCCACTCGATGTGTCCCTTTCACATCGATGTTTCCCTCTCTCTCTTCCTCTCTCTCCCTCCCACTCTGTCTGTACAAACAATGGAAAAATGTCCTCGGGTGAGGATAAAAAAAAAAAAAGATGAGGAAGACTCAGACCCTGTTCTCAGCCTAATCCGGTGGTCCTTGAGCTTTATCATACAAAAAATTCACCGGGGGGAATCTTTTAAAGATACGTATTCCTGGGTCACAATCCAAGATTTTCTGATTTGGTAGGTATGTGGTTAGCTCTAGAAATGTATCTTTAAATAAACACCTCAAGTGACCATGCTGCCTGCGATCCAAGAACTACTCAGATTCTCTGATTTGATGGAGGAAAAAGACTTAAAAAAAAAGCTCTGGCCGGTTTGGCTCAGCGGTTAGAGCATGGGCCTGTGGCGGGGGTTCGGTTCCTGCTAAGGGCACGTACTTCGGTTGCAGTTTGTCCCTGGCCCTGGTTGGGTCGTGGGAGGCAGCCACTCGATGTGTTCCTTTCACGTGGATGTTTCTTTCTCTCCCTCTCCCTCTCACTCTATCTGAACAAAAAATGGAAAAATATCCTCCGGTGAGGATTTAAAAAAAAGGACGATACAATGTATCTGAGAGTTGCTATAAGACCAGTGTGAATGTCTGGGAGATGAGGAGGAAAAAACATTCTTGTTTATCTTATATCATGCATTTTGCACAAGAGATTATTTCCAGGAAAGGAAACTGTAGGATTATATCCAACCTACTATGAATATTTCTGGTTATGATGAGCCTGGGAATATTTGGGAGATAGGAAGGTAAGAGTTGGCCTTTGTTCATTTGTTTGTGACAATCCTGTATATTTGCTCTCCTTTAGTCCCATTGAGAATTTTTAGTGATATTACAAATGAATTCGCCCTTCAGAATTTATCCTAACCTTCAGTATTTTTCTTACCTAAAAATCTTCATCCTTCTGTTTCTTTCAAATTGTTTCAATATACCATTTTCACCTTTAAAAATAATTTACTTTAGCCCTGGCCAGTTTGGCTCAGCGGTTAGAGCGTCTGCCCACGGACCAATGAGTCTCGGGTTCGATTCTGGTCAAGGGCATGTACCTTGGTTATGGTTTGTCCCCAGCCCTGGTCCAGGTTGTGCGGGGGACAGCCAGTCGATGTGTCCCTTTCACATAGGTGTTTCTCTCTTGCTTGATCTCTTTCTTTCCTTCCCTCCTACTCTATCTGAAGATAAATGCAAAAATGTCCTCAGGTGAGGATTTAAATTAAATGTTAAATAATAATAATTTATTTTAGCCCTCGTCAGTGTGGCTCAATTGGTTGGGCATCATCCCATGCACTGAAGGGTTGCTGGTTCAATTCCCAGTTAGGGCACATGTGGGCTCAATCCTGGTGGGGGGGCATGTGGAAGTCAGCCGATCCATGTCTCACTGTCACATCTATGTTTCTCTCTCCCTCAAAAAATCAATAAGCCCTGGCCAGTTTTACTCAGTGGTTAGAGTGTTGGCCTATGATGCAGAGAGACCCAGGTTCAGTGCCCGATAAGGGCATGTACCTCAGTTGCAGTTTGTACCCAGCCCTGGTTGGGTCATGCGGGAGGCAGCCACTCGATGTGTCCCTTTCAAGTCGAGGTTTCTCTCTCTCTCTCTTCTTCTCTCTCCCTCCCACTCTATCTGAACAAAAAATGGAAAAATGTCCTAAGGTGAGGATAAAAAAAAAAATCAATAATAAAAATAATAATACTTTATTTTATATACTACTCATGATCCTTTTAGTTTGACTCTCCTGCTAATAAGCAAGAAGGCACCTTAATCTCATGAGAAAGATAGAGGTACAGTCCCCAGTATAATGAAAATCAACTCTGCAGTCATTTTTATTATTTATTTATTTTTATCCTCACCCGAGGACATTTTTGCATTCATCTTCAGATAGAGAGGGAGGAAGAGAGAGAGAGAAACATCAATGTGAGAGAGACACAGTGACTGGTTGCCACCCACACGACCCCAATCGGAGGTGGGGGAAAACTGTAACCCAGGTATGTGCCCTTAGCAGGAACTAAACCCGAGACTCTCTGGTCCATGGGCCGACGCTGAGCCAAACAGGCCAGGACTGTAGTCATTTTTATTTTTATTATTTTATTTTATTTTATTAATTAATTTTTGTTACAGATGTTTCTCCTTTTCCCGCCCCTGATTCCTTCCTCCCCATCCCTCCCTGCCCTGTCCCCAGCTTTGTTGTCCATGTCCATTGTTTATGCATACATGCATATAAGTTCTGTGGTTTATCTCTCCCCCAACACCCCCTCTTCTGGGGATTGTCAGTCTGTACCCCACTTCCACGTCTCTGGGACTACCACATTCCTCAGACTGTTATGTTCATTATATTCCACAAATAAGTGAGATCATATGACAATTGTCTTTCTCTGTTTAGCTTGTTTCACTTAGGATGATACTTTCCAGGTCCCTCCATGTAGTCTCAAAGGATAAGAGATCTTTCTTTCTTACTGCTGTATAGTACTCCATTGTGTATATGTACCACTGCTTTTTTATCCATTCATCTACTGATGGACATTTGGGTTGTTTCCAGATCTTAGCTATTGTAAATAGTGCTGCTATGAACATGGGGGTACATATATTCTTCCTGATTGGGGTTTCAGGCTTCTTAGGGTACATTCCTAGAAGTGGGATCACTGGGTCAAAGGGCAGTTCCATTTTTAATTTTTTGAGGAAACACCATATTGTTTTCCATAGTGGCTCCACCAGTCTGCATTCCCACCTGCAGTGGACTAGAGTCCCCTTTTCTCCACACCCTCGCCAACACTTGTTTGATGATTTGTTGATGGAGGCCATTCTGACAGGTGTGAGGTGATACCTCATTGTTGTTTTAACTTGCATCTCTCTGATGATCAGTGATGTTGAGCATTTCTTCATATGTCTCTTAGCCATTTGTATGTCCTATTTGGAGAGGTGTCTATTCAGTTCCTCTGCCCATTTTTTAATTGGATTCTTTGACTTCCTTTTGTGGAGTTGTATGAGCACTCTATATGTATTGGAAATTAATCCCTTGTCTGATATATCATTGGCAATTATGCTCTCCCATACAGTGGGTAGCCTTTCTGTTTTGATGATTGTATCTTTCGCTGTGCAGAACCTTTTGAGTTTGATGTAGTCCCATGTGTTCATTTTCTCCTTTGTTTCTATTGCCTTAGGTGCCGTGTCAGTAAAAATTCTGCTGCGTATGATGTCTGAAATTTTGTTGCCTACAGTCTCTTCTAGGATTTTTATGGATTCATGAGTTACATTGAAGTCTTTTATCCATTTTGAGTTTATTCTCGTGTAGGGTGTAAGTTGATGGTCTAGTTTCATTTTTTTTGCAAGTAGCTGTCCAATTTTCTCAGCACCATTTATTAAAGAGGCTGTCCTTACTCCACTGTATGCTCTTGCCACCTTTGTCAAATATTAATTGAGCATATTGCCTTGGGTCCATTTCTGGGTTTTCTGTTCTGTTCCACTGGTCTATATGCCTGTTCTTGTGCCAGTACCAGGCTGTTTTGATTACAGAGGCTTTGTAGTATAACCTGAAATCTGGTATTGTGATCCTTCCAACTTTGTTCTTCCTTTTCAAGATTGCTGTGGCTATTCGAGGCCTTTTTTGGTTCCATATGAACTTTTGAAGTACTTGTTCTAATTCTGTGAAGTATGCCGTTGGTATTTTGATGGGGATTGCATTGAATCTATAGATTGCTTTGGGTAATATGGACATTTTAATGATGTTAATTCTTCCAATCCATGAACAGGGTATGTGCTTCCACTTTTTTATATCTTCCTCTATTTCTTTTTTCAATGACCTGTGGTTTTCTGAGTATAGGTCCTTTATTTCTTTGGTTAAGTTTATTCCTAAGTATCTTAATTTTTTTTGCCGCAATGGTAAATGGGATTGTTTTCTTAGTTTCTTTTTCTGTAATTTCATCATTGGTGTATAAGAATGCCATCGATTTCTTGATGTTAATTTTGTATCCTGCAACTTGTCCAAATTCATTTATTAAGTCTAGTAAATTTTGATGGAGTCTTTGGGGTTTTCTAGGTATAGTATCATGTCATCTGCAAATAATGACAGTTTCACTTCCTCCTTTCCAATTTGGATCCCTTTTATTTTTTCTTCCTGTCTGATTGCTGTGGCTAAGACTTCCAGTACTATGTTAAATAAGAGTGACGCAAGTGGGCATCCCCGCCTTGTTCCTGTTCTTAAGGGAAATGCTTTTAGTTTCTGCCCATTGAGTATGATGTTGGCTGTAGGTCTTTCGTGTATGGCCTTTATTATGTTGAGATATGATCCCTCTATTCCCACATTGCTGAGCGTTTTTATCAGAAATGGATGCTGGATTTTGTCGAAGGCTTTTTTTGGCATCTATTGATATGATCATGTGGTTTTTATTCTTCATTTTATTTATGTGGTGTATCATGTTTATTGAATTGCGAATATTGTACCAGCCTTGCATCCCTGGATGAATCCCACTTGGTCATGGTGGATAATTTTTTTAGTGTATTGCTGGATCCGATTCTGCAGTCATTTTTAAACTAGGATAAGTTTGCCCTGGCCTGTTTGGTTCAGTG